ATATATATATATGTATGTATATACTTAAATATTATTGATATAAGGAAATTAACAGTGGCCTAGTTTAATGCAGATGAATTGAATAGCTCAAGTGAGCTGTTTAAATCTAAGCATTAACCCAGGTATAAAGATTATTCAGTTGATCACCAAAGTTAAAATTTCTGGATATTAATAAATTTCTGTTTGTTTGTCCTGCAGCTCTGAAACAAAACCTGTCCAAACCAGAGACTCCTTGATAGACACTCTGCCAGGTAAGAGCTCTATTGAGCTTTTATTCAGTCTCTAACAGATTTTTCTTATCAAGCATAAAATTGAGGTCTGGTGCAGCCTAAATCTTCCTGTTCAACTGTTCATCCCTTGGGCAAAAGACCTGGGGTCAGATTTATAAAGGATTGCGTGGAAACCATACTAAAAGTGAACGTACGGCCAAAAGGCGAAAATGGCGTACGCCAAAATATTTCAGATTTATAAAACCGTGCGTACACACGTTTCTGCGCACCTTCCCTTTATAAATCACAGCCGTACTTCAAAGTTTGCGTACAAGGTCCCGCCTCAGGTTCTACCCTCTGCACGCCCACACTCAACCATAAACAGTCAATGCAAAGTACCTCATGAATGTTAAGAYGTATTTAAATCAGTCAGCTGATCAGTGTCAAAAGAAAGTGATTGGTTCAGACACGCTCCGTCGTGCATCTGGAGGATGACAGGTGCTGACAACTGCTCACGTGAACAGATTTTCTGTAAGTGACATATTTTCCCTCATTTTGCAGGTTTACAGACGTTTAGAGCAATCTAATGATTTTTATCAAAAACTCAGCTTCAAATTAATTTTCTCTCAGAGCCTGCAGAACGATAGCCTGGCCCTTGCCTTCCTACACAGCTCCGCTCAATTCTAGTTTCCCTTCTCTGCTCCGTCTGGGACTTCTCCCATTGACATGGATTTCGCTGGCAGATTTTTAGCCGGGCAAATCAGAGAACAGAACGTCAATTTTCTGCGCAGTGTCTGCTTGTAGTTTATTTTATCTGGGCCAATCAGCAAACAGAAGGAGGAGTTTTGAATGACGTCGTTGTTCTGCGCAGTGTCTGCTAGTTATTTTAGCATATGGCAGTGAAGGAAGTGAATGAAGCCAGTCTGTGTTGATCAGGCTTCCAAATTAAAATAAATTTGTCTGACAAAGCAGCAGCTCTCATTTACGGTTGTCTCGTTCAGCTCGGTACTTTCCTCCTCTCAGTAGGGTTGTTTACAGCACACGCGATTTCCGGTTAGCTTCTTAGCTTAGCCTCCGTCACAGCGACATACGTCGCAGCCAACTGATCCAATCATTTTAAACTTCAGCAGAGGCCACGCCTCCTGCAAGAAATCGATTCTCTATGCATCAAGTCCAGACCCTTGTACGAAGCAAAGTGAAGGACAGGGTCTGGTTTAAACCAGGCTAGCAGAATGATAAAAACAATAAATAAAATTAAATAAGTCAGATAAAGTTAGAAATAAGTTCACCACTCCTCTCCCCTGTCCTCCACCTCCTGCCTGCTCTGTTATCTGCAGCTGATCGTCTCCTCACCCCCTCACATCCCCACAGCCCCGCGCACGCGTGAGAAATATAGACTTTAAAAATTACCTAAAGCGTGACTTTTCCTGTCGTGCTGTTGAAATGTCTCTTGTCGGGGAGGGGTCTGTGGGTCAGGGTCGTCTGAGGAGGAAGGAGATGGATGGAGATGTGTGAACTTTTATTTAAGATTTAAGTTTTTTTTATTTCAAAGGTCCTCATTGCTCAGCAGCAGCAGCATAAA